TTTATTGTGGTTAGACCTGGGTTAGGGACCTTGAGGGATTCCAAAACAGACTTGGGATTGGTTAGCCCTGATTGGTATCTGGACTGAGCTAATTGGCTATTTTGAGTCTAGGGAAGTTGCAACATTTTAGTCTCAGCAGGACAGCTGGAATTGTTTGTCTGATTGGCCTCTCGGTGTGGGGTGGGAGGAGGCGTTCATGGTCTTCTCTGTAACCAGGGCAAAGGTCAGGGGCAGTCATGCCCTGCTGACTCGGGCTTCAGTTCTGCTAAGGCCTGGGTCTCTCATATATGCCCCCCCCCATCTCTGATAGGATGTAAATAGACTGTAGCACCATTAATTGCCCTGTGTCAAACCTTTCCCCAATGAAGGTGAGCAGCCTTTTGAGGATACAGGACACCAAGGCAAGGGTATTAGGACCAGTAGGGGCCCCAGTGGGGTGAAGACTATGGTAGTCAATCACGGAGATTCGAACCAGCCTTGAGACTGTCCACGCTCCCTGTTTCTTTTTGTAACTCCTCTCTGACTTTGGCCAGTGATTCCTTTACAGCTCCTGAAGGATCAACACAGAAGCAACATTCTTCTCCTAAGGCTGCACAGAGCCCCTCCCTCTTATAAAAATACAAGATCCAATCCCCATCTGTTCTGCAACACCACATTAGCCAGGGAGGTTAGGGAATTCTGTGGGTGGCTGATGGAGCTTTCTTGCATTTTTATGTCTAGGTCAATGGTAGTCCATCAAGGCATTTGTCAACTTACCGGCTGTCTTTTGGGGCTTTTTTTCTAATATCTGGTGCTGCTTGATTGACAAAAGGGTCCTCAGGGTTCATGGGAGAGAATGCCCTAAAAGCCCCCATTAATCTCTCAAGATAGGCTAATGGTGATACGTTAACCTCCTGCTGAACACTATAAATTTTAGCCTTATTAGTTGGGCACTGATCAGTCACCTGGAGACCCCTCATTAAAATCTGGCGATAGATCTTGAGGTCTCCCTACCTTCTGACGAGTTGAAATTCCATTGGGGGTCAGTCCAAGGGAAGCTGTGGTCAATCTGGGCCTGGCTGACTATGGGATGTCTGTCATTGCCTGAAACCAACTTCTGGGCCTCAACAGTGCTGGGAGCCAAATCCTGTATTGACAGTGGTCCAGCCATCACACGGCCCAAAAGGTCCCAGAGTGCCAGAAGAGTCAGTAAGTTTCCATTTCCCCATCAAAGACCAGGAACCAGGGAACACATAGCCCTCCAAAGTTAGCTATTAGCTATCGGCTGCTGAGCACAGGACATCTTGCAGTTAGATTACTTAGCAACCTTCACCCCGACCCCCTCATTCCCTAAAAGAAGTTCCCGCTTTTGCCACTATAATAGCCCTTATGTAAAAAATAAAATTTTGCAGCTTGATCAGAAAGCCTGTCTTGCTGTCTGTTTCTTGTGTCTCTTGTCTCCTCATTCTAGGACTCTGGGGTTTCAGGCCCCCATTACTGCCCTGCTGGCCAGGGCACAACAAATCTTTAACACAAAATATCCAGGAAATATGGGGCACGGTGAAATGGCCAAACCTAAGATAATAGGCATAGAGGAGCCCAGCTCAAAGGTTCAGAAAGTATATTCAACAAAATCATAGAAGAAAACTTTCCCAACCTGAAGAAGGACATGCCCATGAAAGTACAAGAAGCTTACAGAACACCAAATAGAGTGGACAAAAAAAAAAAAAAAAAAAAAAAAAAAGTCCCCTTCACACATAATAATCAAGACACCAAACATACAGAATAAAGAAAGAATTTAAGAACAGCAAAGGAGAAAGGACAGGTAACATATAAAGGCAGAGCTATCAGAATAACACCGGACTTCTCAGTGGAAATTCTGAAAGCCAGAAGGTCCTGGCTAGATGGTCTACAAACACTAAGAGACCATAAATGCCAGCCCAGACTACTATACCCAGAAAAACTTTCAATTACTACAGATGGAGTAAACAAGATATTCCACAACAAAACCAGATTTACACAATATATATCCACAAATTCAGCCCTACAGAAAATATTGGAAGGAAAACACCAACTCAAGGAAGTAAACTACACTCACAAAAGCATAGGCAATAGATAATCCCACTGTACCAAAAGCCAGAAAAAGGGGGAAAATTCACACAATACCAATTCCAAAAATAAACCCAAAACAAACAAGAATTAACAATCAATGGCCATTAATATCTCTCACTTTTAAAAAGACAAAGACTAACAGAATGGATACAAAGACAGAATCCACCCTTATGCTGCATACGAGAAATATACCTCAACTTCAAAGACAGACATTACCTCACAGGAAAGGGTTGGGAAAAGATTTTCCAATCAAATGGTCCTAAGAAGTAAGCTGGTGTAGCTATCCTAATATCTAACAAAATAGACTTCAAACTAAAATAAATAAGAGATGAAGATCATTTCATATTCATCACAAAAAAAATCCATCAAGATGAAGTCTCAGTCCTGAACATCTATGCCCCAAATACAAACACACCTACATTCATAAAAGAAGCATTACTAAAACTCAAATCATACATAAAACCTCACACACTTATATGGGAGACTTCAACACCCCACTCTCACCACTGGACAGGACCACCAGACAGAAACTTAACAAAGAACAAAGGAACTAACAGAAGTTATGACCCAATTGGGTTTAACAGATATCTATAGAACATTCCATCCAAACACAAAAGAATATACCTTCTTCTCAGCTCCTCATGGAAAAACCGACCACATACTCAGGAGTAAGGCAAAGCTGAACAGATAACAAAGAAAGAAAGAAAGGAAGGAAGGAAGGAAGGAAGGAAGGAATAACCCTCTGTATTTTATGGGACCACCATGGCTTAAAATAAGAATTCAGCAACAACACAAATTTCAGAAACCCTACAAACTCATGGAAATTGAACAATGCTCAACTACATCACTCCTGGGTAAAAGAAAAAAAAAAAAAAAAAAAAAAACAAAGAAATCAAAGACTCCCTAGAATTCAATGAAAAATGAAGGCACAACATACCCAAACCTATGGGACACTCTGAAAGCTGTGCCAAGAGGAAAGTTCATTGCACTAAGTGACCATATGAAGAAAACCGAGGATAGTCACATTAGAGAATTAACAACATACCCCAAGCTCTAGAACAAAAAAAGCAAACTCACCCAGGCTGAAACCAATAAAGAAGAAACAAAGAAAACACAAAGTATCAATGGAACAAAAGCTGGTTCTTTGAGAAAATCAACAAGACAGACAAACCTTTATCCAACTAAACAAAAGGCAGAGAGAGAACATGCAAACCAACTTCATCAGAAATAAAACAGGGACGCAATAACAGATGCGCGGCTTCAGCAACATGCAGCCTACACACTGGGGGGGGGGGGGGCTTGTCTTTCCAGAACCGTCCACACTCCTGTATGCACAGCTCCCTTTTCTGCCATGGCTGACTCATGTTCCAGTGAATAAAGACAAATGTGGTTTCACCACCGCACCTGCCATTTAGCACCCCAACAAAAGAGTATTCACGGCCTCGTGTGCATCTGGAATGTGGTGTCTGCACTACTTGGCTGGGATGTGGGTCCTGTATAAACAGCCATCCTTCATGGACTGTCCTTTCCCAAGGGCTCTGCGTTGGTCCTGCCTCAGGAGCATCCCAGTTTCTGACCAGCTGTCCTCATTGCTCGGGATACCAATCGTCCTTCCTCTATCCTGAATTCTCAGCATCACCCCCACGCCCTTCCCCCACCCCTGGTCCTTGTCACTGTTCCCGTGAAACTCCTAAGTAACAACTCCTTGTAGCCCTCTCCACCTGTGCAGGGAGGCACAGGAGGGGACCTCAGAACCTCCACACAGGAGCATTTCTTCCGCCAGGACAGCTCCGCAAAGCCTCAGCTAACAGCCTAGGGGAGGTAGTGCTGACCTGGAACATTCATTCCTTGTCCTAGAACAGGTGCAGGCAAGCTTAGACGGGGGAAATCCTGCCACAAAGGACTTTGCTGCGGAGCCAATGGACCTGTGAGCTCGGGGTGAGTTGCACTGTTGCCCAGAAGGTACACACATGGGACCAGGTTGTCCTCAGAGAGGGCCAAGTGCGCTGTGTGTGAGACAGTGTAGCTTGAATAAATCAGGAAGAGAGGTGTGGGGCCCTCTCACAAGGCTAAGGATCCAGGGACCACCCCAGGCCTGCTCTCCCTTCCAGAATAGCTCCATGGGGATCACAAAGTGAATGGACAGGTCCTTTCTCCTCGGTCACATTCTAGTTCATGACCTTTGGTTTATGATTACCCTGGAGCTGGCCAACGAGGCACCAGCCCAAGTTTTCTCCATGGAGGAGGGGCAGGTCCTGGCAGGCTCTTCTGATTTTGGAGTCTTGAGTTTTCTGGGAGTCTCTGCCCTGTGCTACCAGGACGAAAGAACAGAGAGGTAAGGCTGGGGATTGCTGTGGGCCTGGAGTTCCTTAACTTTCCTGGGGACTCAGTGGGGGAAGGCAGGTTTTGACTTGAGCTGTTATTTTTTTCACTCAATAAAACCTAACCAGAGAGAAGAGGTTTTTCTGAAACTCGTGCGTGGGAGCATGGGATTCTGTAATGTATGGACCCAGGTTTCCTGCTACAGGGCACTGTCTCTGAACCAGAAGTTCAGAGAGTCTGTACCTGAGTAAGGAGGGCGGTGAGGAAGGCAGTACACACACACACACACACACACACACACACTCAGGCCACCATATTAAATCCTCACAATTCAGCAGGAAACCAAGTGTTAGCTTCTGTGCTCTACAGAGGTGAAGGGCATGACTAAGATGCGAAGGGAGAAACCAAGGCGATGGCCAGGTGTTAGTGACCTCACACATTCCAGCAACGCCCTGTTGTTTCCTGGGTGACACTAGAAAACATGCTTGAGTTAATTTAACGTGGCTCCTAAGAGGTCTGGAATAGGGTTGAAGGGACTCAGGGGACTCACATGATTTTCTTTCTCTTCTGCAGGGCCTGGGAGTGGTGTACCAGCAGGTCTGGCTGTTCCTCGTGGATGCAAATTTGAGACCCCAGAAGTCTTCCCATGGCTCCTTATCACCTCCGCCAGTACCGGGAGAGCGACCACAGACAGGTCCTGGATCTGTTCTCCAGGGGCATGGAGGAGCACATCCCTGCCGCATTCTACCATGCACTGATGCTGCCCCAAACCCTCCTGCTCCTACTGGGGATGCCCATTGCCCTGGTCCTGGTGTCTGGCTCCTGGTTGCTAGCCGTTATGTGCATCTTCTTTCTGCTCCTGTTACTGTGGCTCCTTGCCAGACAGCCTTTGAAGAAGTTTGTGGACATGTGTTTACACACAGACCTGGCCGACATCACCAAGTCCTATCTCAACGAGCTTGGCTCCTCCTTCCTGGTGGCTGAGACTGAGGGCCAGGTGGTAGGCATGGCGGCGGCTCGGCCAGTCAAGGATCCCTCATTAAACAGGAAGCAGCTGCTGCTGTTTCACCTGTCTGTGTCCTCACAGCATCGGGGACGGGGGATAGCGAAAGCGCTGATCAGAGCGGTCCTCCAGTTTGCACGGGACCAGGGATACAGCGATGTTGTTCTACGTACTTCTGTGCTGATGTATGACGCTGTGGCCCTCTACAAGGGCATGGGCTTCCAGAAGACAGGCCAGTCCTTCTTCAACACAGTAGCGAAGCTACTGACTGCCCCTTCAATCCATTTCAGGTACCCACTCCCTTCAGCTCAGGAACATGAGCTATGACCTAATTTCCTTACGCGTCTGTCAGCCTCCAGATCACTATGCTTCCACAAGAAAACCCTCATGTTGGATCACAAAGGCATATTTGCCACGCTCACAGGAGCCCTGCATATTTGATGGTGGGTGATAATGGAGTGCCCCATGTCTTCCAAAGTCAACTTCCTGCAGAGGGCTGTCAGTGACTGCTGGTGCAGTGGGCTAGTTTCATGGGGCAGTAGAGGCCATGTGTGGAATGTTTCTGTGGGTCCAGGAAGGAAGCATGATCTAGAGAGTTCTAGATTTACTGCACAAGTTGTCTCAGTTCCAAGTCTAGGGACTCCAGAAATGTAGGTGCTTCAGACCTGACCATGCTTCATGGATGAATTAAGACAGAGCTGTGTGCTGGTGTTTTCGAGACTGTTAGCCATTTCTGCAACTTCATCTCTAGCACTGACATACCCCTATCTCATACTGGATATCCCCAACCCAGCAGGATCTGCTGATTACAGCAGCAATTCCAGGAGCACTTCCAGGGGACCTGGGGATGACAAAGGGGTGTTTCCAGGTAGTTGCTGTCCTTGTAACGTGTATACGATAGCAGAGAAATGTTTTTCCCTTTCCTAGAACACCCACAGACTCTGGATTCTGTAAACCCATTCTAGTGTGCTTTTCTGTTGCTGTGGTAAAAAAAAAAATATTCTACCAAAAACAACTCAGAGGAGAAAAGGGGCTTATTTCATTTTACACTTCTGGGCCACAGTCATTGTGAGGTTATGGGAGTTCTGGGCTTATGGTAACACTGTGCAAACTTAGCTTCTCACTGGTGAGCTCCGTTAGGGCCGGGATCTCTGTTTGGGGGAGACATAGAACAGTGACATCTTTACCTCCGGATATCACACCAATAATAAAGAAAACAAATGGCTTCCCTGGTCTATCTCGATCAGGCAATGAGTTCATCAGAGTTGCTTATAGCAGCGCAGATCATGGTTTACTTACATGGAGTTTCTGTCCCACCTGGTCCCATAGCCGTTTAGCCCCACATAAACACACATAAAGGCTTATATTAATCACATATTATGTCTTAGTCTTCTTACTAACTAGCTCTCTCTGAATTACTAACCATTTCTATTAAACTATGTATCGTCCTGTGGTCTTGGCTTACTGGAGAATGCCCAGACCTGTTACTCCTTTGACGGCTGCATGGCATCTCCCTGGTGGGCTTCTCTCTACGTCCTCTCCCCAGAATTCTCATCTGGTAGACCCACCTATTACTTGCTGCCTGACTACTGGCCAATCAATGTTTTATTCATTAACCAATAAGAGAAACATATACACAGAAGGACATCCTCATCACACCTTGATATGGGTAATGACTATGGAGGCTGTGTCACTGGATTCTTGGAACAACCTGTAAGAAGCTACATCATCGAGCCAGGCATACACCTTAAATCCCAGCACTTGGGAGGCAGAGGCTGGTGGCTCTCTGTGAGTTCGAGACCAGCCTGGTCTACAGAACTAGTTTCAAGACAGATTCCAAAGCAATACAGAGAAACCCTGTCTCGACAAACCAAAAAAAAAGGGAGCTACATCATTAAAGTGTTCCTACCCACAAGTAATCATTAACTGCTTATATAACCCTGGAAAGGGACTTTTGGGGCTTTTGGCTTTCTTAAGAGTTTCAGGAATGTTCTTTCACTCCAGCAGAGGAGTGTTTCTACCTGGAGTAAATAATTACACAATATTCTGCGCCTTCACCCAGTTCTTACATCCACACAACCCTCTAATATTCCCTGAGCCATGCACCAGAGAAATATAGATGCCAATAGTATAGACCAAGAGCAATACACACTTTTCTTAGCAATTTGGTTAGATGTGGGTCTCCACAGTAACCACTGTCCACTGGGGAGGGGGAAAGAAATTCCTCCTCACATCAGTGACTGACAGGAGCAGCATGCTTTGGGTATAGATACACACGCTTAGAAGACCATTTGATAGACACGTGCATCAAATTCACACAGTAGCAGTAGACTCCTCTCCAAAGTCCGTGACCTCCCTTGCCACTTGTAGTAGCAACCTGGGCTCTGCCCTGTGAAGTCGGCTTTGCATCCAACCAGAAAGCAGTTAGTTGGACCCACAGCTGTGCCTCTATCACAGCAGCAGAACTAACTGGCCTGTCGTGTGCTGCTAACAAGACCATTTGCGACAATCCCCCCCCCCCCCAGCGCTCTTCGGACCGGTAAGGAAAAGAGCTTTCAACTCACCCTGATTTTTTTCCATGCCTTATTACAAGACATGTGCATAATCTTTAGCAACAGGGACTCACTATCTAGATTTAATATGCAACCAACGCTGTGGCAATAGCCTGTATTGTGTGGAGACTCACAGACCTCCTAACCTACAACTTGTAAGGAGATACCTCACCTCTCACACTGGGATATTCATCCAACAACCATATGGCTGCTGGGGGTATCCTTTCCCACCCACAGAGGCACACTGGTTCAATTTTTCCTCTTCCTTCCTTCCTTCCTTTCTTTCCTTTTTGACATTTACCAAGTGCATATTTAACAGAAGGTAGCCAAGTCCTTTCTATGTACTATGCTGACTATAATAATTAAACAAATAGCACAAAAATGCCTGCTAGGCAGAAATCTCAGTGTTTAGCTTTCATATCTTAAGATCTTAAATTGAGTAAAAATTGAAGATGGTAGAAAATTAAAAAAGAAAGTCACTGCCACATGTGGAATAAGGAGAAAAACAACACTAAAGTTATTCTAATAACCAAGGCTGGCCTAGAGCTTCACAAAAATTCCAGCGCCATTTCCTTATTATTATGATTATTATTATTTACTGGGAATTAGGAATTATTTGGCAATGCTACTCTTGACAGGGCCAGGCAAATATCATGACAGGCTCAGTTAAGAACTAGGCCTCAGTTCACAAGCAAAGAGCAGTCAGCCACCAACACCCCTCCCCACCTGGAGTGATAATCAAATGAGGACAAAGCCTGGGACTTGTCCACGAATGGAAAACCTATAGCTTTAGCCCACCCCTCTATCCCTAGCCAATTAGAAATGTACTAATATGATTGCCACTTATGCAGGCCAATCATGAGTAGAATGGCCATACTGCTTTTAATCCCCCCCCCCCCCCCCCCCCCCCCCCCTTACACATTCCATTTGGGGTTGTCACCATTTTGTATAGGCATGTGACCCCACGTGTAATAAACGCTCTTGCTGATTGCATCATGACCGGTGGTCTTTGTGGGGGACTTCTCGAGGCCTCTTTAGACTAATAAGCAATGATAAAATCCAGTGAGAGAAAAAAATAAACCATGAACAACCAGGGAGGCTTACAAAATTGTCTTTAGGGTACTATCTGGAAAAACTCACACATTTCACAGTAGAGGTGTCCCTGTAGAGGTGCTGTTGTTTTTGTGAACTGAGAGGTCATTAAAATGCATGTCATGACACAGACATCTTTTCAAGGGAAGCAGCCCCTGCTTGGAATGAACTGTACTATTCACAATTGTTTCATCAAAGGTTTCCTCTTGGCATGCTAGCACCCTACAGAAATAACCCTATTAAAGTAGCTGAGCTAGAAAGACTGGGAGGGTGTGGGTGGGGGAAGTGTGGGGAGCTTAGACAGAGTCAGAGAGCTCAGCTGCACACAGGAAGCCTTTTATGGTTCTTTTTGAATTGAAGTTCCCCAGAAGGGAGTGAAGATAGGACTTTAATATAAAGTATTTCTAATTTCTTTTGTGGGGGCTGTTTCAAGACAGGGTTTCTCTGTGGCTGGCCTTGAACTCAGATTTGCCTGCCTCTACCTCCCAAGTGCCGGGACTAGAGTGCTGGGACTAAACGCATGCACCACCACACCCAGCCTAGTAGGCCAAGTATTTCTAAATCTTAAGGTGAAGGCAGCATTGAAAGGTGTTCTTCAGATATTCTTCAGAAATTCTGCTACCCTCATAGACTGGAGCCTAGCCCCATCCTCATCAGAGAGGCTTCATCCAGCAACCGATGGGAGTAATACAGATACAGACCACAGCCAAATGTTAGCTGAAGCTCAAGGAATCCCTTGGGAGAAGGGGAGGAAGGGTTGTAGAAGTCAGAGGGGTCAAGGATACCACAAGAACACGACTCACAGAATCAACTAGGCAGGGATCATAGGAGCTCACAGAGACTGAATTGACAAGTGGGGAGTCTGATTGGGTTTGAGCTAGCGGCCCTGTATATGTTATGGTTGTGTGTGTCCATTCCACTAATCAGGCGAAGGCCTAGAGTTTGAAATGAGGCAAGACAGCAAGTCATTCATTCAACAGGAATGCTGGAATGCGGAATGCCCTTTATTGAGGGGAAGGAGTGGGCTTATACACTGACTCACAGCACAGTGGAAAACAACAGGGTCAAGAGTCCACGTCTTTCAGGCTTAGCTCCTCCCCAGCAGACGTGTGTTAGCAAAACAGAAAGAGTACCAGTAACAACTCCAGGGCAAGATGTTCCAGCCAACAGCTTCAGGCTTGCTCACGGAGCCTGGGGGGGGGGGGTCCATGCAGGGCCCTACAGTTGTGTAGCTTGGTGTTCCTGTGGGACTCCTAATGGTGAGAGGGGTGTCTCTGCTCTTTTGCATGTTCTTGAGACCCTTTTCCTCCTACAGGGTTGCGTCCTCCAGCCTTGATATGAGGGTTTGGGTACAGTCTTGTTGTAACTTGTTATGCTATGTTTGGTAGACATTCCTGGGAGGCCTGCTCTTTTCTGAAGGAGGATCGGGGGTGAGGGGAAGTTCAGGGACACTGGGAGGAGAGGAGGAAGGGGAAATTACAGTCAGGACGTAATGTATGAGAGAAGAAGGAAGTAGTGTACACCTTTGATCCCAGCACTTGGGAGGCAGGGAGCTCTGTGAGTTCAAGGCCAGCCTGGTCTACAGAGTGAGTTCCAGGACAGCCAAGGGTATACAGAGAAATCCTATCCCAAAAAACAAAACAAACGAAAACTTCTTTCGGGCTCCAAAGCAATACAGAGAAACCCTGTCTCAAGACAAACAAACAGAATGAAAGAAAAAAGTGTTCTTCAAATCTCAGTACACCTGAAAACATGCAGATAAGATCCACTCTTATTCCTGCTTTGTAAGTATTTTTCTGAGTAACATATTTGCTTCTATTCTTTATTTTTATCTTTTCAAAAATGTTATTTATTTATTTTACAACCCTATTGAACTTCCCTCTCTCTCCTCTCCTCCCATTCCTCTCCACACCACCCCTCATCTGCTTCTGTTCAGAAAGGTGCCGGCCTCAAGTTTTAATTTTATAATTTGCTCCTTAAACTTTATGCTTCTAAGAGTGCTTTCTGAACACGTATGCATACAGCATAGGCGTGCCGAGTGTCTGTGGAGGTTACAGAGGGCATTGCATCCCTGTAAATGGAGTTACAGACGGTAGAAGCAGCCACGTGGGTGTTAGGAACCAAACCTGTATCCTCTGCATAAGCAACAAGTGCTCTCAACTGCTGAACCATCTCTCCAGCCTCCTGTTTTGTAGTTTTATATTGTGCTTTTAAAAAATAAACTAGGCTTTTTTCTGACAATTTTCTCACATGTATGTAGTTTATTCTGATTATTCTTCTCTCCTACCCTCTTTTATTTCCCTTCAGACCGTATCAACCTTCCCTCCTCCCCACAAGTCCCCTCTCCAGAATTATGTCTTTTTTCAGTTTGTCTTGTTGCTGTCCACCTGCCTCTGCCTCCCAAGTGCTGGGACTAAAGGCGTGCGCCACCAACGCCCGGCTTCTCTCTATCTTGTATGGAGTCTTTCCCTGACCCACCAGCTAGCTCCGAAATCATGACACAGAGACTTACTATGAATTATGAAAGCTTGCCTGATAGCTTAAGCTTGTTTCTAACTAGCTCTTATAACTTAAAGTAACCATTTCTATAGATTCACTTTCTGCTTTGTGACTTTACCACCTCGTCTACACACTGCCCATCCTGCTGGCTCTGCGTCCTCTGTGTCTCCTCACTTTTCCACCTTCTCCTTCCCAGCATCCTCTGTGCCTGGAGATCCTGCCTAGGATTGGCCGTTGAGCTTTTTATTAAATCTGTCCGAGTGTCAATTCTTCACAGGGTACTGTCTTGTGTGCTGAGGGAGACTCTCACTTGAACCTGAGCTCGGCTGATTTGGGGGGTGGGGTCTACCTCGTAGCTCAGTGTGGGAATCCCATGTCTGCTCCTCACACGCCAGGGTTACAGGTGAACTATCAAGCCCACCTGGCGTGCGTGTGCATGCATGCATGTGAGGCTTGAAGTTGACATGTGTCTTCCTCAGTCTCTTTCACCTTTAATCATAAAGGCAGGGCCTCTAATTGGCCTTGGAGCCCACCAGTTTGGCCATGATGGATGGTCACTGGGGGGACTCTTGCCGCCTGAGCGCTGGGGTTTTCATCAGCCAGCTTTTATGTGGGTTCTAGGCATCCACATTACTGTCTTCACACCTTATCCAGCGAGCCATCTCTTAATCCCTGCATTTATTCTTACACAACCTGCAGAATAGAATTGAGACGATTGTTACAGGTTCTGATGTGGACAAGAACTTGGTTATGATACAACCACACCCTACCCACAGCTTCTATCTACAGTTTCACTGTTTGGCTCTTTTACAGGGGTTTTTGAGAGGACAATGTCAGCTCATGTAAAGGACACCTTTTTGCTGTTTATACTGCTTTTGCAATAGTCTCCGAAAACCATAATGCCACATTCCCTGGCAGGTCTTTGCCTACAGGTTCAACTCCTCCATCCATAACACACTTTCCTAGCAACCTTCTTTCTGCGAGTCCACAGGCAGCCTCAAATCTGCGATTCTAAGCTACTTTCTAATGTTTTCAATGTTTTCCATTGGTGATGTCAAACGCTAGCACACCTACCCATAGCTTCTCTACAGGAAATTGTGAAGGTGGAAGTCACTTCCGGGACCCCTGTCGGTAACTTGAGTTTTCTTTGTAACCTATCTATTTTAATCTTAAAGCCTATTCCTCGGCTGGAACAGGAGCAGCGGGAAGGGCGTCTTCTTTGGGAAGAGCGCCCCCATGAGTTGAATACTCTTTACTGCAGCTGACTTCCCGTAACCCTTTGGCCTGAAAGGAAGTTCTGGCCACGCAGCAGGAGACCTACAGGAGATTCCTTGGAGCGGACCCTGACTATGGCAGCTTCCCTCCGTTAGGTCTTAGGGTCTAAGGGTGGCGATCAGAGCTTTGCAGGTTCTTGGGAGTCGCTTGGGACAAAGTGGCCTCCCCTCACCCTTGAACTCAGATACATTCCTTTCTCCAACTTGCATCACAGCAGTAACTGCGATCTAACCCTGCGTTCCTAAGCCTCGTTCCCGACACCAGCTGCCACGTTGCCCGTGGTCTGTTCAACCCCGAAGTGGATACAAAGCATCTTCAGTACTCAAGGCAAGTGATATGGTTTCAGTTTTTTGTTTTTGTTTTGTTTTTCTGGAAACATGAGATCAGTTTCCAGGTTGTTTGGGTGGCACATCCTCCAAGAGGTCTGGGACCAAATAATTATAGTCTAGTACGGCCAGCTCAGCTCTTCCTGAAGGATGGATATAAGGGTCCTATGCTGCGCAGGTCTGGCACCTGTGTGTGTGCACGGGGAGATTGTGCTTTTGGGTTACTCGGCAGGTTAAGAGCAGCAGGAAGGCTCCGTGGTCACTGAGTCTGCAGAATTCCATGTGGTAACTAGGAATTGTGCCAGGTGAGCTGAAGCAAAACCTGGAGATCCAGAGCGGACCATGTTGAAAGCTTGGAGCAGACAGAAAGCACTAAGGCAGGACAGGCAGCAAATCCCATCCCCAGCCCATGCAATGCCCTGTGCATGTCCTCTACTGCACCCAACTGTGCACACGACACAGATGGGTCAGTAAATCCCAGGAATGTTGTGCAAGTTGTCTCAATCTACCAGACTCACCTCAGTTAATTCCTCACCAGCAAAGAGAGCTGATTGGTTGCATAGGAGAGATGTGTGCCCAAAGCTAGGAAAGCTCAGCAGAGACCCAACTAGAGCCACACCTTGTCCAAAGCTCACCCTAATCTTGTGCCGCCTCTGCCCAGTTCACTGTGGGAGTGGTGGTGTTCCGGATGCCGACCTTTGATCCTTCTCAATTCCCTTCTTTGTTGCCAAGGACGGTTATGTAAGAATGTTGTATAATCCTCCTCTTTATTTCCTCTAGCCATTGGAAAAGGGCACTGTGGCCGGTAACACACACACACAGCATTGCAATGCCCCTTGGGTCCCCACTGAACTTGACCTGTATTTGGAAAACCCGCCTCTGCTTGTCATTCTATCACCACGAAAGGGAGGGAGGTTTAGCTCATTGCACAGCTTCTCACTGTGGACACCGCATGCCGACGGTATGAGCAGGGTAAGAATGAGGAAGGGACCCGAGGAACGGTTGCTAGGGCTCGTGGGTGAGATGTTCAGTGCAGGCCAAAAAGAGACACAGGGATCTCTGTCGCATCTAGCTCCAGGCCCTGTCGGAGCATCATAATCTCCCGGGAACATAACTGTGGAAGTCAAGGTAAAGTTGACTCCTATTAACTGTCCATCCCATAATCAGCTTAACAAGGTAGGTGGGAGCAGGACCCTCAACACCCAAACTTGTCAGCTTTGCAAACTTTTTTTAGAAAAGAAAAAACCACATTATTTTTATGTGTATGGGTGCCTTGCTTATGTTTGTGTCTGTGTGCCATGTGAATAAAATGTTCATGGAGGCAAAAGGAGCTAACACTCTCACCACTGAGTCATCTCTCCAGCTCCCAGACTCACTTTTACACAGTTTAGGTCTCCGTTGTGGGTACTCTCAGGACCTCTGGACACCCTCGTGGTAGCTAGAGCCCGCCCATGACTCATTTCCTCACTCCTGCATGCACAGCGGTCCTTCATCCCTATCTGGGTGCTTGCATCCTTTGGTGCATGGACCTCCTCTCTCCTTATTTTTGGGTGACATGTATATTTACCTCATGGTGGCTCTAGTAGTTTTTTTTTAAAAAGCACCCCTAGAGAGAATGACTTCATGCAACAGAGTTCCAGCAGAGGGGCTTTCTATTGGGAAAAAAGGAGGTTGTAAAAAGGGAAAGGGAGGGGAGACCAGCTCCAGGGACGGGAGCAGCAGGAGAGAGGAAATGGAGGAGGGGCAGGAGGTGGGCAGGTCTCTTTTAAAGAGGAACAGAGTGAATAGCACATGTGGTCCTCTTAGTGGCAACAGTTGAGGGCGCACCCCGCGAGAACTCCAAAGGCAGGCCAGTACAGAGGCCTAAATGCTACCTGAGATGGCAATGGCTTCAATCTCCAACAACCTGGTGTCTGTCTTTAAGATGACAAGGAACTGGCCCTTAGTGGCAAATGCACACCGCCTGCCCTCAGAAAACACAAATGAACTTAAGACAGAGCAGCTAAAGGTCCCAGCCCTGCCTGGGATGCTGAGTCAGAAGGGACCAGTGTGACAGGGACAAGGAGACAAATGGCAGCTTCCCACGACGGCGAGCAGCCTCGCGCCGTCCTAGATGCCCCCTTCCCTTCCAGGTTCATTCTGTGGGGCTCCTACCTTGTCACCACCCAGTTTCTTCACGCCTGTGAAGGTCTGTGATTATCATCCATGCAGGTGCTGGCCAATGAGACCTCTACCCATGTGACTCCAGGGAGAGTTACACTGTCCCAGGCCTCACCTGACAGGTGTGTCTCAGGCTAGGGGCAGGACCAAGTATCCTGGGCGAGGTAAAGTGTAACATGAAGAAATCAGGAAGAGAGATGGCAGCCTCCCACAGGTTAAAGACCATCCCCGGGCTTGCTCCCTCTCCGTGGTGATCCTATGGTGGTTGCAAAGCGAGTGGACACAAGCTGTCTCCTGTCACATTCCGACTCTTGGCCTCTGGTTTATGATTATCCAGGGCACCGGCCTGGCTCTGTTCCCCGAGGAGGAACTTGTCTTAGAAGGTTCCAGATGTCATCCTGAACTCTCCGCCGCAGGAGCAGGTAAGAGGACAGAGAGACAAGGTTGGCTCCTCTCTAGGTCTAGAGTCCCACAGCTTTCCTGGGTGTTCAAGGGTATCGTGCTTGACCTTTGCTTCTTAGTGGATTAAATCTTCCTAATTAGGGGAATATTTGCTGACACCTGCCATGGGAACATGGGACTCTGAAATTTATAAATCCCGAAGAGGAGACGCGGCTGAGGACAGCACATCTCCCTTCCATGGGGTACCGTCCCAGTGTCCTGAAGATTGGAGTGGTGGGAGGGGCTGTGCATGCCCTGTGCTGTCTGAAGCTTGCTGTACTAAACCCTCAACATTACCCTAGACACCAGGCGTTCCTTTACACTGATCTGTAGATGAAGGCACACAGGCTCAGAGGGGTTGGCATGCCTAGGGCCACATGACTTGCCAGGGGAGGAGTCAGGGGTGTAAGGCTCTGGAAACCAATGCTGTCTTCCAGTGTTGGTGTTCCACCCCCTCCTGGGTGACAGTGGAAATGAGCACCTGTGAGTCTGGGGCTGGGAGCTGGGTGGTGAGTGGAGGTTTGGGGAACTGTGAGTCTGGGGCTGGGAGCTGGGTGGTGAGTGGAGGTTTGGGGAACTCATTTGCTCTCTTCTGGCTCCTGCAGGGCTGGAAGGAAGCAAAGCAGGCACATCGGGGCGTCTCTGGTGGGCGCTGAGACTTGAGACGCCGTTTTCCCATGGCTTCTTTTCACATTCGCCAGTTCCAGGAGAGAGACCATGAGCAGGTCGTGGACGTGTTCTCCAGGGGCCTGGAGGAGCACATCCCCAACGCCTTCCGACACCTGCTGATGCTGCCCCGCACCCTCCTGCTCTTAGTTGGGGGGCCTCTTGCCATAGTGCTGGTGTCTGGCTCCTGGCTCCTGGCTGTTGTATGCAACTTCTTCCTGCTTGCGTTCTTGAGGTTCCTTGCTAGTTGTCCTTGGAAAAATTATGTGTCTAAATGTTTGCACACTGACATGGCTGACATCACCAAGTCCTACCTGAGTGCGAGAGGCTCAGGGTTCTGGGTGGCTGAGTCTGGGGACCAGGTGGTGGGCATCGTGGGGGGTCTGCCAGTCAAGGATGCCCCACCAGGGAGGAAGCAGCTGCAGCTCTTTCGCCTGTCTGTGTCCTCACAGCATCGAGGACGGGGGATAGCGAAAGCGCTGGTCAGAACTGTCCTCCAGTTTGCACGGGACCAGGGCTACAGCGACGTCATCCTTGAGACTGGCTTTTTGCAGCGAGGAGCTGTGAACCTCTATTACAGCATGGGCTTCCAGAAGACAGGGGAATCTTTCATGGACACGATCACATGGCTTGTGGATCTCTCTATAATTCATTTCATATACCCACTCACTTCTGCTCAGGAACATGAGCTGTGACCTTCTTCCTCTGTGTATCTGTCAGCCTCCAGCTCATTGTGCTGTGGGAAAAAAAACATCCCGGAGATTGTAGTGGACAAATCATAAAATTGCCTTTGCCATTTTCATCGCACCCCTGTGTCTTTGATGGTAGGTTGAGAACCAGGGCTGTGAACTATGCTTTATTTCCTTTAGGATAAATTCCTACAGAGGGGCAGCAGAAACCAAAGATGCGATGGGATAGTTCACATGGCCCGACTAGCATGTGTAGTCCCTGCTGACAACTCAGCCATCCACATCTACTTCCTGTCCGTTCCACCCGGACCACATCCAAACCGAGTAACTTGTTGACTCTTGAAGTCGACATCAGCTTTATATTCAACTGTAGGCCTTTACAGACAGCCCGTGTCTGGGAGGCATAGGACATGTCCTTCCCAGGTCCCTTCTGCTCTCCCCGTGCAGTAAGATCAGGTCTTCCGGGAGAAGCTCCAGGGACGTGGAGAAATGGGCTTGGAGGGATGGCTAGGTGGGGAAGAGCACTGGCCCGTCCCCAGGACTCACAAGGTGGCTTACAACCGTTGACCCCAGTCCAGGGGACAGTGCTCTCTTCTCCAGGGGCACCAGGCATGGCCTAATAGTCCCTGTTCTTTGAAATACATATCCAATAGCAAGGAAATGTTCTTAAACATGTAGGACACACAGTGGGGGCCAAACGCTAGCTGTATCGCGGGGCAGCAGGACGAGTTACTTCCACAGTGAGATGATGGAGAGACTTGAATATTGTAGAACAGCAGCAGCTGATACGGATACAACAGGGTCAGGGTGCCTGTTCCTGGTGTAAAACTTTTCCTGTGGAGTTACAAAGTAACCTCTTTTACTACCCCAGATAAGTGATTCCATGCAAGCTGTCTGATGAATCAGTGTGTTGCTGAAGGGCCTGTTCACCTTGGCAATCCTTAACTTCTGTAAGATTAGCGATGGGTCCCTTGAGTCTTTAAGCTCTCTTAGGGTTTCCCGAGCTTCCCCTTCAGTCCAGAAGAGACGCTACATCACACTCATCCCCTCCCTCCAGCTTTTACAGTTCTTCCACAACGCCCCCTGGGCCGTGGAGAGAACGGTATAAATTCAAGACCACAGCGTAAGATACTTATTTTCTGCAGCTGAACCAGATGTGCTCTCCATAGTGACTACTGCCCGTTATGAAAAAGAAACTTCAACCATCGTGGTTGCAGCTGCAGCCTGTGGGCACAAACACATGTTTAGAAGGCAATTTGACATGAATGTGACATGCATCTGACAAAACAGAGTTAGTAGCCTGCCCTCTGGAAAGCCCCACGGGTTTCTGATGACTTAAGTACCAAACACCAGTTTCTCTTGCGTGGCAGGCCTTCAGTCTGAGCAGGAAATCACAATGTGCAGCCATCAGCTGCCATTTGCAACCATTCTTCCTTAAGGGACCCAGGGAACCCTTCTAGAAGTGTAAATGCCTACTACTCGGGAGCAGCTTCTCACAGCACAGGCATGTCTCCCCAGTCTTCAGTGATGGCGATGGCACCTCATGGAAGGAAGATGTGCTGTCCCCAGAGCAAGAGGGAAGCCGGTGCTCATGTCTGCCATGTCCCCAGACGCCACAGGATCCAAGCTGGCTCCACTGCCACTGTACCCCACGGGCTACGCCTGGGCTTTAAAAGGGCCTCGAGGCACACAAATAATCCCCACAGCTGGTATGTTTTCTTGAAGGGAAGAAACTCTCCCAGCCAGGGATAGTTATTTATTATTAGAGCAAGCTGACTCATTTTCTCCTCCATAGCTCTTTTTCTGTATCTACCCACTGTTACAAGCACGTTTTCCCAGCGGCCTGGGCCCACAGCCGCACCAGCCCCAGATAACACACAGAGACGCTGTATTAGATATAAAGCTGTTGGCCTGTTACTAGTGTTTCTTATTGGCTAGCTCTGTCTTAAATATCTAAGTATTTCTATCAATCTAAGTATTTCCATGTGGTCATATCTTACCGGAGAGAGGGACAGAGTTCTGTTCTCCCCATCCTCCATCTTGAATCTCCTCCCTACTACTTCCTGAATCCTCCTTGTCTCCTAGTCCCGCCTATCTTGCTTTCCTATTGGCCAACAGTGCTTTATTCATTAGCCAATAAGAGAAACATATTTACAGAATGACAGCTCCCATCAACCCACTGCTTCTATTGCCTTGGGTGATATGGCGGTTTCCATGAGCCAACACACCATGGCCCAGCAACCACCAATGCCCCAAAATCCTGCCATCAGTAAGGGCACAACGAACCTGCAATTCAACACAGGACCTCCAGTTTCCTGCACAGCCCTCACCTGCAGACAGTCCTGGCCCTGGGGGGGGGGGTTGTCATCTTCCTCTGCAGCAGCAGGTGTCATGGGCATCACCAACACTCCCTTGGTGTCACCCTTTCTTTTGAGCAGAAATTTCGGACAGAAAGACTTTAGAAGCTCTAGAGCACATCCTCTGGCCGTCTGTCACCTTCATCTTGTGAATTATATCTCAACGCAATTCCTGCCACATTTGTCTTCACGTGACTGGGACGGAGTTTTAAAACCTGCTTTTCCTTTCTCTCATGCTCAGCACCATTTCCAGCCTGGTTTAATCACTCAGACACGCAGAAGGAGCTTCTCCAGCACCGCGTCTACCTGCATGTTGCCGTGTTTCCCACCATGATGACGACTGACTAAACCTCTGAACTGTAAGTCAGCCCCAATTAAGTCTTGTCCTTTATAAGAGCTGCTGTGGTCTTCACAGCAATAAAACCCTAAGGCAGAAGTTGGCAGCAGGAATTGGGGTAAATCCTGGCCATGCTTTTGTTTGAAGGAATGAGGACTTGGGGATTTTGGATTGGGAAAGCAGTGGACCATCCTGGTATAAACATGGAAGGCAGTGAAGCGGAGGGTGATTCGAACTGTGAGGGTCTGAACCAAGAGGGGGGAGGGAAGAAGAGTTTTAGTATGTTGCAGAGAGATTGTTCTCGTCATATTTTGGTGAAGAATGTGGCTGCTTTTCTCTCCTGTCTGAAGAGTCAGCCTGAGGTTAAAGAGATTTGGATTAACTCTGTTGGCAGAGAAAATCTCAAAACAGACTAATATAGACTCTGCTGTCACACACACACACACACACACACACACACACACACACACACACACACTGAAAGGAGGGAGCTGAGCAAGGGAAAACACAAACTGTACAGATTGAGGAGAAAGGGGGCACCAGGAAATGGAATGGAGTCCGTCCTGTGCTCAAGGAGATAAACAGATTAAGAAATGGAATAAAGGGAGCGGTGGCCTCAGGGCAAGACCCCACCCAGCCAAGTCCCCAACCTGCGAAAAGGAATTAAAGAAAAGCGAAGAACCCGGTGTGGTAGTGTACAACTTTAATCCTAATACTCAAGAGACAGAAGCAAGCAGGATCACCTGGTCCTCAGAGCAAATTTCAGGACAGCCAAGCTTAGGCAGTGAAGGAATCCATGGAAAACAAAGTTGGTGGAGATGTAATTGCACAGTGAGGCCGTGCTCCAGCCCCGGGAAGCAGCAGAGCTCGTCATCTTTGTGGTTCTGGTTTAGAGTCAAGGACAGAAGAAAGGCTTCCGGAATTTGCCTCTGCGCCTAAGGCAAGCTGCCGAGGCCAGGCGTGTGGCAGGAGTGTCCTAGAGAGGCCAATGTGTGAAGTGTGAAGGTAGAGCCTGGATCTCACGGGAGACCCCAACAAGTTGGAGACGCCGGAGCCACGGGATGCCTGCCCAGAAGAGCTGCCCACAGGGAGTGGAGCCAGCCCAAGACAAAGAAGTGTGTTGCTGTCAGCGTGAATGAAAGGGCTTGGAGAGCCAAACCGTGCTTTGACATGACTCGGACTTGGAGACGCAGAGTTCATGGTTTTCCCAGATGGGTTTCAGTGCCGATTCCGCCTAGAATTTCCTCACTATCCTCCCTTCCCTATATTTTGGAATGGATATATATATCCTGTGCCATTATATGTTTGAAGTATGACATTTCTCTTTTAATTTTGATTTTATAGGGGATTACAGGTAGAAGATTGCATGAATCTCAGACTTTGAACTTTGGATTTTAAAACATTGTTGAGACTCTTATAGACTATGGGGTGTGGTGGAATATTATTCTAAGCTTTGTTACTTTTATTTATGTTGCTTTTGTTTAACTCTGCGAAGCTGTGTTTCTGTGTCTGTCTAAAACACCTGATGGTCTAATAAAGAGCTCGACAGTCAATACGAGGCAGGAGAGAGAAATGGGCCGGGGTGGCAGGCATCGCGTATAAATAGAAGGGTACAAGAGGAAAGAGACAGGCTAGGAGAGAACAAGGGGGCCAGAAATGAAGAGTGAAAGTAAGATATACAGTAAAAAAAAAAAAAAAAGGGGTGGGGGTACAGAGGCAAAAGGTAGGACAATTTAAGAAAAGCTGGCAAAAAACAAGCCAAGCTAACGCCAGACATCCATAACTAAGAATAAACCTCCATCTGTGATTTTTTTTTGGGGGGGAGCTGGGTGGTAGCTCCCCAAAAGCAAAATCAATCCACAACAATTTGGCACACCCAATAGGGGACATCATAGTATCCTTCTAGAGCTTGAGAAAGCTGGAAAAAGACATGGCTCCTCTAAGAGGCATTGCTTTTCAGCTGGCAGTGCTAAATAGAAACTAGAAATGACAAACTAGGTAAAAATGGCTTGTGGCTATGCAGGTACTGGCTTACATTGTAGAAAGGTTTAATGCAGTTCTCAGTCCCAGACCTCCGATCAGTCCGTGAGCGCTGGGCTTGGCTTCCCTGACCTGAGAAGCAGGCAGAGCCAGCTCACTGACCTGCACGAGGAGAGCCCAGGTGTAGCTTAGCAGTGTAAACTTGCTCTTGCTGTAGTGATACGTGATTTATGATTCATTAAAGGTACTAGAGAGCAAAATAGCAAAGCAGCCACACTAGTTAGCTGTAGAAGCTAGGCTGGTGGTGGCACACACCTTTAATCTCATGAGTCAGGATTAAGAGGTAGACGGATCTGTTAGTTCAGCGCCACACTGACAATATGAAATTGATTCAATCCTAAAAGAAGCAGGGCATGCAAAGGTGACCTTAGCACATGGGATCACGTGCCTTTAATCCCAGCACTAGGGAGGCAGAGACAGGATCTTAGAGCCTTTTGCTTTTTGAGGATTTGTGGAGACAGGATTTCCATTTCAGTTGGGTAGAGATAAGATCTATTGGCTTAAGTGCTTTGCTTTTCTGATCTTCAACTTAAAGTTTGAACCCAAATATCAGTCCATGGGTCAGTCTTTTATTATTGTGTTACACCATGCAGTCAAATAAGGCTAAAAAATATTTCAGTAAGAGGTCCAGATGGCGAAAACCTGTGAACAGGTTCCAGTGTGTTTCACGTGTGTAGGCTTAAGAAAGAAAAGAAAATGGGTATAGTCAAAGAAAGAAATAGATTAAAGATGGTAAAGTCTTTAAAGAGAGTAAGAATAAAAGAAAAAAAAAAAAAACCACATGAAGAGGAGAAATACGCAGGGAGTCTGGATCCTGTATGCTATTGTGTTGATTTTGAATTTTTTGACTGCTGAAAAGCAAGGACAGGAGACTTGGAATTGAAAGAGGGGCTGCTGAAATAAACCAGCCTAGATATTTTAAGAGAGCCTTAACTTTTAAAAAGTCAAAAAACGTATTTGTCAAATGCATTTGGAGAAGTGGTTTTGCTTTTGTTTCCACAGGAATCAAGAGGCTGGGGATTTGTTTCAGGCTGAAATGGATCTGGTCTGATCAAGGGAGACCTCCCGATTGACAGGTGATAGCTATCAACAAAGGTTATAACTGGTCTTCCCAGGACTTGGCCATTATCTCAAATTTTTCTCAGGGACCCTTGGCGATGTCTTTGACCACAGCAAGTGGGAAGAGGTATGGACAGGACCGCACCACATTCCCAAGAGAACGGGGGGGGGGGTGTCTTTGGTTATTTTGTGGGTTATGGGCATTTGTTATAATTTTAGGGAATATAGGGAAAAAACTATTATTAATCTCAGATATTTTGCTTTGGCATGTAATTTGGCATGTGAGTACAAATTCAAAGTCAGTTTTGTTATAGAGTTTTGTTACAACACATTGTATATATGTATCCACTCTTGTTTAAAGGACTTTTGTATATTGATTTAAGGTGATTTAAGTTACAACCCAATATATACATATGTCTCTGCTCTTGTTTAAGGTATTGTACCTAGGCAGTTCATTTTAAAAAATGTAAGGTAAAATTCTAGTTCTTGAAAGCTATTATTATTATGAACTATTTAGGATGATCAAGAAACATAGGTCAGTAGGTAGTCATCTATAACAATCAAATTTGTAGATATGCTAGGTATGCTTTCCAGATCATATCGGGATATATTTTAGATGATAGCTGGTCTTCAAATATTTCAAAGACCTACAGAATATGGCATTTAAAATGTTTTTTTTTTTTTTAACTTGGGGTTTTTTCAGACATTTACACAGCACCAATTTTATATCAGAGACAAAGGACATTGAAGAAACTCCTTATCGAATTCGCTTTCAATGTGGCAAGGCTAGCCATTTGGGAAAGAAGCTGCTCTTGCCTGGTCTGCTTTATAGAATGTTATATAAACTGGACATGCAGGACCCACAAGAAAGTGACTACTGAACTTTGCCAAAACAAGGCAGGCTGTTCCGTCAAAATTCCTGCTTCACTGGGAAGTCTGCCTGATACTCTGGTTCTGTAGGCTGAGGATGGATGCCCCAAGGTTGCAGAAGGAACTTTAGGAGACTCTCCAGGCAGTCAGCTATCTCTGTCATTTCTAGAGTTTTGGAAGTTGTTTGCAATGCACTTTTTGTCTACTCAAATAATATCCTTCTGGGTTCTTTGATGGAGCTGAAGATTAGATAGTTGAGAATAAATTAGGTATAAAACTCTAGATTCATTAAGATATGATCGATAATGGAGTATTTTCTTTTAATCTGCCAGACACAAATAACTGGAATTCATTATATTGTGAATGTAATCTTATTAATTGTTCTTACTGTGTTCAGTCTTACTATGTTAAATTTAAAAACCTTTTATTTTTTTGTTAAAGGGGGAAATGTTGTAGAATATTATTTTAGGTGGATTACTTTTGTTTATGCCCTGGAACATTTGTTTAATGATGCAAAGATGTGTTTGATTAAACCTCCTGTTGAGTCAGCAACTAGCCGACCGGAAGTGGTAGGGAGGAGCCAGGTGGAGAAGGGTTTGTTAGGAGAAGTTTCTGGAGAGACTCAAGGAGAGGAGGTGGGCTACTTGCTACTCAGCCTCTCTGAGGAGCAGAATTCCACCTCAACCTTTGAATCTTGAGTTCTTTAGAGGGACAGAGATTTAGTTAAGTTCTCATCATAGCAACCGGGAACCCTGCTCTGTATCTTCTGTTATCTTTGCCCGTATCCTCATTCCAAACTGTAGGCCTGGCTGATCTCTGCGGGGCTGGGCTGTGGAAGGAACGGACACACCTGTCTGTTCTGGAGCAAACCCCAGTACGTTAGAAGAAGAAGCAGAAGCAGCCCCGGCCTGGGCTTCAGCAAAGTGAGCGGTGTGGGTCTTAGTGAGCGTGATATAGAAGCGTCAGGTGGGTGTGGGTTGGCACAGAGGGAGCAGGACTGTCTGACTGGCCTAGGAGCGAAGCCCGAGGTCGGGGCTCTTGCTTTGGCTGCGTACAAAGCACAGATGGACCTGTGCACATCAGGGGAGCCATCTTGTGCTCTGGGAGCAGAAGAGACCGCAGGCCGCACGAAGGACTGCGCACAGGGCGGAAGCTGAAAAAGACCTCTGTGCACAGGAGCTGGGACGCCTCAGCTCTGAGAACGGTTCCCTAGTCCTGTTTCCACGCACCCAGGTGAGAGCTGAACGCTATTGGGGGGGGGGGCATCTGAACAACCCAGTGCTGGGCCCAAGGAATCCTATTCATTACTTCCATCTTGCCTACACTGCCTTGCAAACTGGTTTGAGACAACCATTGTTTTCTAGTTCTATTCTGAATGGGAACCACAAACCATGACGTCATAGCATTGTGGAGCTGAAGGGGGTTAAAAGCTATTGATGTTCTCATTGTACAGGCAACCGGGAACCCTCCTCTGCATCTTCTGTTACCATTCTGGGTACGAGCATGAGTCTGGGCTGCATGGCCTGGCTGCTCACAGGGCCTTCATGCCGTCTTTGGAGCTGGCCACTGGTCTGGCTGCCCCTCCACCGCGGGGAAGGGAGGTGACTGCCGAATGAACAGCACATTCTGTCCTCAGCTTCAGCTTTACTGCAATTCCCAGTCACAAGGGAAAGAAAACATTCTGAATTCTGAATTATTGATCTGTGTTCTAAGTACTCCATAAATGAGCGAGCGAGGAGGGAGACTCTGGTGCTGCACACTCCAAACAAGCCCACACGATGAGCAAGATTCATTCTCTGAGCCCCCTCCCTGCTCCTCGCCAGATGGGAAGAGATGACCTTCTACTGAGGCAATCAGCAGTGACTTACTTTCTGGAAGTGTAAGAACACGCAAAAAGGAGCTCCCCCTTGGCTAGAAGTCAGAGTTCCACCCCCCAGCAGGCCTGTGGGCGGGCAAGGCCTCTGTGGAGAAGGGGAGGACTGATTCCATACCACATCCCAGAGCACTATGTTAACACATGGACAAAGAGAAAGCTTTATTAAATCGCCTATTAAAATATAAACTAGACTTCTTTAGGGTTATAAAAAGTGTCCACGGCTCTGAGGGGGGCGCGTCGTCCTGAGTCAGTTCCACGGCACCTTTCTCCCCAGGACTTGGTTGGTCACTCTCTGTGGAAGAAAACGCGGAGTCAGGTGCAGTGTCCACATGGCTGGGCATCCTCACCTCCACACACTGCTGACGGGAATCTCCCTACATCTTGTGTATGCTACTCACCCACCGACAGAGACAGTGGCAATCAGGAAAAATGTGTTTCTTACAGTGTTTTGCAAAGATGGTCAGTAAGCAACACCATCTCCGTAGAAACAGATACTGGAATGGATGGACTGACCAACCCAGCACGGAAGGGCCCGTGTGATGCTAACACAGCAGGCCGGCCATAGTTCCTAGGGTCTCCCCCAATGCCCAGGCTCCTGGGTGCTCCAGACAGTTCTCATCTCTCACACTAGTCTGGCCTGGTCTTTAGCTTCTGCCTTTCAGGGTCCTCTAGAGGAGCGAGTGGCCTAGAAGGAAAACAGGAGCTGGCCGGTGGCCAGTGTGGGAATCTAAGGAAATTAACTGGTACCCTGCGCTAGGAGTCCCGGGTACCATCTCTCTAACCGCTCACTCCCTGCTGACACACAGACCTTGCCCAGGTTCTTTACACAGTTCTAGACTTGCAGGAAGGACTTGAGATCACCATGTAGGAACTAAATTGCCTGTGTGGAGTCTTTAGCTGCAGACACTTGGAAAGGGCTGGATCACGGTGCTAATGACTGAAATCTCAGCGCTTCTCAGGTGGCAGCCAGGTTGCTTCTATTCCCTCTGATCCGCCCCTCCATGGACAGGGTGTCAACCCCGCTAACCGTTTTGTAGTGCTGAGCTCGCAACCGGTAGGATTTATATTCTGATTTCCTCTTCTCCTCTTCTCTCTTCTTCTTCACTTCCGGAAGCTGCTCATAAACCCTTAGAAATGGCATAAGCAGAAAGAAAGCAGTATGGTTACCTGGCATGGAGGTACAGGCTCTCCCCACCCCTCTGGCCCATGGCCGCCTAGGCGTCCAGCCTCTGGACGGGGCCAGCCCCTGATACGAATCCACGTCCATGGATGTGGACAGCCTGGCCTGGACCCACAGCCTGGGAGAGAGATGAATGAAAATATAAAACACTGATAATACTGCTTATTTCCAGAAAAAGATCAGATTAAAGGAGTAAGTAAAATTCTGTTTTCCATGCTGTGTGCAAAACGTCATGGTTTCAACATAACAAAAAGGTATTTCTGAGTACTTACACACATGTATACAGATATAGACCCCTACTTACGCTTGTATCAGGATTGACTGAGGTACCCCAGACTAGTCTGGAAGTCAGCCTAGCCTTGGCTTACTAAATAATGGGCTTACATGGATATACAACACCATATCCAGCTTGTTTATTTTTAAAATTAATTTTTCTTTTTCTTTCTTTCTTTTTTTTTTTTGGCTTTTCAAGACAGGGTTTCTTTCTCTATAGCTTTGGAGGTTGTCCTGGAATTCTCTCTTGACCAGGCTGGCCTCAAACAGAGTTAAGTCTGCCTCTGTCCCCCAAGTGCTGGGATTAAAGGCGTGTGCCACCACCATCCAGCTAAAATTATTTCTTTTGTTAGCATACACCATTTTTCTTATCTGCCCTCCTCATTCTCTCTATCCCTCTCGCTGGCTGCCTTCTTTCCCAAGTAGTACCTACCCCTCTCTGCTTTCATGACACACACACTCCTTAGTCTCTCCATCCTTCAAGCCCGCCTTTCTACTTTATCTTCTGCATATGAACAAAGCATTTTTCTGAGTCTAGCTTACTTTGCTTAATACAATAATTTCCAGTTTTACCCGTTTCCAGCTGAATAAATCCTCATTTCCTTTACCCACTCACCTGCTGATGACCACGGGAGCTGCCCCAATAAACACGGATACACAGACATCTGTGACTGTTGACGGTGTACAGCCAGAGTGGCATAGCTGGTCACGTGATGGTTTCTATTCTTTTCGTTTTGTTTTTCTGAGAAACTTCCTACTGCGTCTACAGTGGCTTCCCTTCCCCATATATCCTGACTTGAGATGAAATCTCAGAGTTTTGAATTGCATTTCCCTGATTGCTCAAGATGTTGAACACATTTTCAAATATTTATTGGGCGCTTGTATTTCTTCTTTTGAGAATTGTCTATTTGGTTCATTAGCCTAGTTAATGAATGGAAGATTCGTATGTATTTAATCTCTATGGCTTTTAGGCAATAATCCCCTGTTGGATGGTGTTGTGGAATGCCCCCTTGTCTCGTGTGTGTGAACACTGCATCCCCAGCTGGTGGCACGGTTTGGGAAGGTCATGGACCCTCGTGAGGGAGGGGCCTTGAGCTTGGCCCTGCTTCCTGTTCACTCTCTATTTCCTGAGGAGCCCCCTGCTCCTGTCATTCAAGCCTTCCCTGCCAGCTACCGCTACAGTGGACTTTATACCTCTGGAACTGTAGGCCAAACTAAACCCTTTGGTCCTTAGGTTGTTTGTTGTCATGGCAACAAGAAAATACTAAGACAAGCTGAGAGGAGCTTGAGTTGAAAAGCAAGATGAGTGTGTACAGGATGGAGGGAAGACTTTTGAGTAGTTACTTTCTTCTTCTAAAAATATTTTCCAAAGATTATAATTTAAAAACCAAAAATCACTGAAAAGGACGCAATGCCCTGAGTGGTGGCAAACACCTTTAGCCCCAGCATTCTGAAAGTGCAGGCAGAGAAGGCGGATCTCTGTGAGTTCCAAGCCAACCTGGTCTACAGAGCAAGTTCCAGGCCAGCAAGGGATATGTTTGTCTCAAACAAACCAATTCAGTAAAAACAAAATGCCATCACATCAGAAGCACCCAGAAACTACCTGAGCGTTCTTATATAAACCAGATTCTAATGAGCACCTAGAAATGTATCTGGTAATTACTTTTTCAATGGCATTCTCACAATTAACATACGTGGAACTGATTAAGTAATGCGTAGATCATGCTTACTATGGCTCAAGATTCAAAAAGCCTCTGAAAAACTGGTCTAAGAAATGGCTCAGTCTCCGTGGCCGCTCTTGCAAAGGACCCAGGTTCGATTCCTAGCATCAATGTGGCAGTTCACAAATGTCTGTGACTCCACTCAAGGAAACCCAACACCCTCTTTTGCTTTTGGACTCTAAGGACACTGCATGTGTGTGGATTTGCACACTTACATACATACAGGCAAAACAGACACATAAAATCAAAATAACCTTAATAACAGCAAAAATCCAGTCTCTTGTACCCCTACATCTAGATGCTCAGTTTTTGTTTCCCAAAGGGAACCAACCACTAATACCAATTCCTCTGCAACTTACAGAAATAGTGTATGCATGTACAAGTCTACACAGCTACAGAAGCAAAGGTTACCAATGCTGCAATGGATTGAAACTGAGCACGCTTCTGAAACTCAAGTGCTCAGGCTTAGGTTGTCTTGGAGAGCAACTGATCATTTCTTAGTTGGAAAAACTCCTAGATAAAGATGGTAACTCAATAAGTATTTCAAAGTTATTTCTTAGTTTCATCCAGATTTCTAATAAAGACAAGCTCATCCCTGGCACTGCCCTTGTTGCTTTGCACAGGAACCACTCACACAGTGTGCTCTGAGAAGCAACTTCACTGACCATCTCTGGGAATGCGCCTTTACTCTGGGGCTGGGATGACCACCAGTGGCCTGGCTTATTTATAGCTGCATAATTACTCTCATTCTTCTGGACTTACCGTTTGGTCCTCTGGATCATTTCCTTCTTTCCAATAGGCTTGCTCTTCTGGACAGCCAGGAGGACTAGACAAGACAAAGAGTTCATTAGCGGACAGTGCACGTAAGGAGAGGTGTGGCGTTGTAGAGCTGTGCAGAGGAGATGCTGGGCACTACAAAGCCTGACCTGCATTAGGGGTACTATGACCAAAGTCTAAACCCACTGTGGCTGGCCAGTGTGAACCTGACTACTGACTAGTTGATGGGTAAGGCTGACAGCTTTAGGTGGCATTTTATACTTTCACAACTTTCTTGTGTTATTTTATTGAGACTTGCCAGTCGGTGTAAATGGTAAGAGCACAGATCTTGGCTGCAAAGCTGAGCTCCTTCACCAAGAGAGTGTAACGTTGGGTGAGCTATTTACTCTCCTTGTGAAGTAAGAGCGTTAAGACAGCGCTGTTCTTAGAGGTGCCGTGAGAACAGCGCTGGGCAGACCTGAGGTCTGTTTATCACCACGATTTTCATAATGCACTCTGAAACCAGGAACACAGGCTAGGTCACTAAGGAACCAGCCTTACGGCCCTCTCTTTGAGACAGAGGTGCAGTGACGAGGCTAGCAGAGGCAGGCTTCCTGGGGTCACAGACCAGGGGAAAACGAGGCTGGGCTGGTCTTCTAGCTAAGGAGTCTCAAGTATCAGCAAGCAAAGTGGTGCTCCTCAGCACAGCACAGCTGCTGGGCAAAATGGCCTGAGGCACACCCCTCCTGCTCAGGACAAGGGACATGAGGCACAGCTCTCCTGCTCAGGACAAGGGACGTGGCAGATACCTCTTCTGGGCAGGGGTGGCACAGTGTTGAACAGAGCCTCCCGCTCACTCTGAAATAAGCTCTGCAGCTTCCTCTCCTGAACAAGTAACTTCAGGCGCTTTATCCGTTCCCCAGAGCGGGAGATAAAATCAGGTCTGTGAAGCTGAAGAGCTTCCTAAAGGTGAGAAAACACCTCATGTTAATAACACGGCCCGTTCTCAAGTGCCCAGAAACACAGCAGCTGTCTCACAGGTTTGAGAGCCTGCAGGGGAGGGCACCCACGCAAAAATCACAGAAAGCACGGACAAGCCTTTGGGAAAAGCTGAGGACTAAAGTGGGGTCACATGCAGCTCTTCCAAATGTTGGTAAGACAGAGGTCAGTTCATTCCCTTCAAACAAAGTCATCGTTAAATATCATTTCCTTTACCATCAAGGGATTTGGTAAGGCCTGGGGAAGAGTTCAGGGGTGAGCGCATGGTTAACACTGCAAGGCCCTACAACGATGCAATCCTGACCCAAACGCCAGGCCTGCTACTGCACGCGTGGGAACCTGCGGGCCTGCTATTGCTCCTGCACGCGTGGGAGCTTGCCCGCCTGCTCCCCGTGTGCAGTGCCTTCCTTCTCCTGATGATGGTGGAATGACTAAAGCCCAGCATGCCAGTCACACATGCCCCACAAAAACATGGCTGGAGTCAGCCCCACATCACTGTGCTTACCTGCAGGGTTGCTCTCACAAATGGCCTAGGAGGGACCCGGCCACCATCTCCCCCAGGGCCCGGGCCCCCACGGCTGCTCAGGCATCGTTCCTGCCAGTTTTGCTCTCTTAGTGGTTCCCGCCAGGGTTTGGTTTTGGTTACTGGTTCAAACCAGGAGATGCCAGGGCTGTAAGTCTTAGGCAGGTTTTCTTTCTTAGATCCAGACTTTTTATTTTCCACAGGAACAAACCATGAGACACCTACAGGAAAGAGTTTCAAGAAGAAACTGAAAAGTTTTATTTCTTCGTACCCAGCTACAAAGACATGAATGCAATACTGACTTGCAAAGGTCTCATCTGGTGGGGGTAACAGCCCCCAGGGTGTCCTTGAGTTGGTCTTCACCACAGTAGGACTCTCTGAATGGAGTTCTAGTGACACTCAGAGAATGCCATGTGGAGTCAATGCACAGTCCTCGGAAGCAAGGGCGAGCTCAGTGTTGCAGGAAATGCAGACACACCTTTGTGAGAGTCCCTGCTACCCAGAGTTAAAAAACCGACCCTCGAAATACAAACCAACCTACCTTCACAGGAGTTTGGCTTGATTTTCCTTAAGTTTCTGTCCCGCAGATAACTGGTAAGGAACTTTCTCTCTTTGGTGGTTTCTTCTGACCAGGAAGTGATGTCACTGTCCTCTTCCAGTCTGGCCTCACTAGAACTGGGAGTTGGGAAAGTCACCCCAACATCCCGAGTGTATTTTTTGGCACCAGTCACAATCTCCAAGTTACCTGCGGGGAAAGACAGATGTATCTGGGAACAGACTAGAAACTTGGCTGGCAGGCTTAGGGTCAGAGGTGAGCCCCTGGGGGAGGAGGAGAGGCAGAGAGAGGGAAAAGCAGGCAGGCAGGCAGACACACACACGTGCACGCACGCAGGTTTAATTTCTAAGTGGCTTTAACTATCAGGAAGAAAGAAGAAATATGGATTTGGCTGGTTTGGGCTTTCAGCTCCAGGGGAACAAGATAGCAAGCCTTCTGGACCTGCTGCCAATGGCTTAGTAAGCAGGAGGTGACAGGAGGGAGCTTAAGACTGAAGGACGGGAAAAAAAGACCGACTTTTATAAAACCAAACTCTTCAGGCACAAGCTTCACATTCTCCCAGCCCTGCTCTCCAGTCACTCTGTTTGCAACTCTGGACCCCAGAGGACTACTCGCTTAAGCATTCACTTCCCTTTGTTTTTTACAAAAGGCACACAGTAGCAAACTGTACATACGCCTTCTGTTCCTTGATTTCTCTCTCTCTCTCTCTCTCTCACACACACACACACATACACACATGCGCACACACACACTCACTCACGCTGGGGACCTCTGCGTATGTCGGGAATTCTTAACCTTCTCTCCAGCTCTGGGAGAGCCTCCTCCTCCTCTGTATAAAGCTTCTCCATATGGAACTACAGTAATTAACTTCACCGTTGTTACTGACAGCTATCTAAGGTGATTTTAATTTTCTGCTACAACACCCCTACTTTTGCACATACTTAAGTATTATCTATTGGCTAAGTCCCACTGGGTCAAAGTAAATCTGTTAAGAGCTGCCAAACTGCTTTTACGGAGGCTGTACCATTATTTCCCTACATTGTGGCTTATAAACTTGGATATTTTAAGTACAATTAATAAGTAAAAAAAAAAAAATAGATCAAAATATGCAGGTACTTTTAATCTTTATACCCCTTATCACGAGTAAGGTTAAGTACATGTGTTGAAGAAGCATTTTTTTTTTTTAAATCAATGAAAAATTTAAATTCAAAGGATTTACCAGCTTGTACACCCTTGTTCAACATGTGCACATTTCCTTCATCATTAAGAGTAGAGTCCAAGGTCAAGAAACTACCAGCAGATGAAATGGAGTCAGAAGAAATAGGATTTGCCACCTGGAAAAATGAAAGAGACTGTTTTAGAGTGTGCTGTAGCCTGGGGAATACTACCCTACAAGCCCCCTAAACCCTCTCTAGTCAAACTACTGAGACAGATGAAGGATGCATCTGTGATGGGAAGAACCCCGCTGCACGGACAGGCCCAAGCCATTGCAAAACAGAGAGCTGGGAATTTCTCTGGGATTTGAGAAACTTGCCAGTAATTCCTCCTGCTGTTGGTTATATAGGATTGTTGTTGTTGTTGTTGTTGTGTTTACCACAGTAGGTCTGTTGGTGAACACTTAGAATGTTCAGATTTTTTTTTTAATTATTGTAACATGACTGTGAACACTTGCTTAGAAGTTTTATGTACGCACTTCCATTTCCTTTAGGTGCGGAATGGCTTATGGCAACATTTTAATGCTTTAAGGAACTGCCTGCGTCTTCAGAGTGCCCGTGTGCAGTGTGTCCAATCCTCCCACATCTTACCAAAGCTCGCATCATTCATGTTTTTGGTGTGGCCATTACAGGTGTGAATGGAAGTCGCCTGCGCCTGGACAGTGAAGATGCTTTTGTGCTCCTGTCTGTCTACCTGTTTTATGTGTTTGAGGTCACCTCTCAGCCTTTTGGGTAAGGTCAAGTGTGGCGTCTGGTCTCATCAGCTCTATATTTGGTTGCAAGTCTTACCAGGTGTACGGCATTTGTTTATTGGAAATAAAATTTGGTGTTCAAACGGTGAGTAGAGCACTGTAACAGTTTCTCCTTGCGAGCTGTGCTGTTGGTATCAGACCTGAGGGTTTTTGTGCCCCACTCCCCCCAGTCAGGGCCACAAAGATTTTCTCCTATGTTTTCATCTTAAAATTTGGTTCTCAGCATGTCCCACCCGCACCTCAGAATAGCTACTGTGCCATTCGTAAGGGGCAGCGTCACACAACAATCTCAAAAAAACTGTTGCTTTTAGTAATTATCTCGCTCGCTCTGCTCAGGGCACTTTTATGTGATGTCGTGTTTAAAGCCATCTTTTGTATCTCAGCATTCATTTGTTCTAGATCCCGTTAAGATGTCTGTTCTTTCCTGCAGTGGCTAGCTTTGGTGCCTTCCTGAAATATCGCTGGCCATAGTTAAATGATCACTCTCGATTCTCTGTTGACTGATGTATCTACACCCAGTTTTTACCTCAGTTACACGGTGTCTTAATCACTGTGACTTTGTTTTGAAATCAGGAAATGATTTTTATCTATTATTTTTCTTTCCTAATCATTTCGGGCTCTTGAGACTCTTTGCCATTCCATGGAAGCTTGAGATCAGCTTATAAATTTCTTCAGAAGGTTCATTAATTTTTTTAGGCTTTGGAGAACCTACAAATTAATGTGGAGATACCTGCCATCCTAGCAGTTTGAGTCTTCCAGCTCGTGTGTGTGTGTCTCAACATTTATTTAGATTTTTAGTTTCTCCCATAAATACTTTATAGTTTTTTTCTGTTGTGAATGAGATTGTTTCCTTAATTTTATTTTCAGATCTCTTGGTACTAGAACACAGAAGTAACTTTCTGTACTCTATCTTGGAATCAGTCCATTTTGGCACCTACTGTACTTCGTCTCTCACAGCTGTAGAAGTATGGTGACTTGCCATCCTATGATCCTTATTGTCTCTTTTTTGCTTTACATTAGTTGGGTTTTTGTTTTGTTTACAGTCTATCACTAAAACTTTGTTTTGAGATAGTCTTACTTTTTTTTACTCAGGCTGGGCTTGAACTCATGAAAAGCTGAGATTTTATGTTTTCCTACTATTTCTTTTGTTGATATTTTTGTTATATGTATGCCTTTATTCGTTTTAACACTCACTGTGTAGCTCAGGCCTCAAGTTGCAGTCTTCCTGCCGCCTCCCAAGTGTTGGGATTATAGGTATGAGCCAAGCCAGCATGTTCAGCCTCTTTCTACACTTCATACAATTTCAGAAATAAAACCCTCAGTTCCATCTCTAAGTGAGGGAACTGGCAGAAAGAGACAACCTTGTGTCTTGAGAGACAACTCATAAAGGCAGGATCTAACACTGGCTCGGGTCTTAGGATTCTAGGCTGGAGCCAGCCTTTTGTTTGGTGGGGGTTTTCCCCTCCTACATCAGAAATTTCACAATAATTTACATAATTTCTCTGCTAAACATCCCTTCACTTGATTTGGGCCATGCTCCTGTTCCTTGAGAGCCTCTCAGGTACTCTGGGTATTTATTATATAGAAATCCTGTTTTCCAAATCCCCGAAGCATTGATAAACAAAACATGAAGCTGGAGACACAGGAGGTGCTCAGCGGGGTATCTGTGCAGTGCACGGTGTCTGCTCAGGCAGGGCCTTTCTGAGCGTTGGCATAATGCTAAGGTTAAGTATAAGCTAACTGACCACGGTCCTACCAGCATGTATTGTCATTCCAATCCTTGAAACTACAGCTAGTTCTCAAAACATGCTGTCCTTTTGTTCAAATGTAACTATACTGGACATGCTGCCACTCAGTGACCATGTCTACTAAGAAAACAGCTAACCTGGCAAGCCAGGGAACTCCTACAACTGATAAACTCCTTCAGTAATGTAGCAGGATACATGATTAACTAATAAAAATCAGTAGCCCTCCTATATACAGATGACAAACGGGCTAAGAAGGAAATCAGAGAAACATCACCCTTCACAATAGCCACAAATAATATACAATATCTTGGGGTAACTCTAACCAAACAGGTGAAAGACCTGTATGACAAGAACTTCAAATCTTTAAAGAAAGAAAGAAGATACCAGAAAATGGAAACATCTCCCATGCTCTTGAATAGGTAGGATCAACATAGTAAAAATTGCAACCTTACCAAAAGTAATCTACAGATTCAATGAAATCCCCATCAAAATCCCAGCACAACTCTTCACAGACCTTTAAAGAACAATACTCAACTTCATATGGATAAACTAAAAACCCAGGATAGCCAAAATAATCTTGTACAACAAAGGATCACCTGGGGGCATCACCAGCCCTGACTTCAAGTTCTACTGTAGAGCTATAATAATGAAAACAGCTTGGTATTGGCATAAGAGACAGGTGAACCAATGTAATCAAATCAGCCAATATCAACCCACACACCTATAAACACCTAATTTTTGACAAAGAAGCTAAAAATATAAAATGGAAAAAAGATAACATATTTAACAAATGGTACTTGTATTAATTGGCTGTCCACATGTAGAAAATGCAAATAGATCCATATCTATCGCCATGCACAAAACTCAAGTGTAAATGAATTAAAGACCTCAACACAAATTCACACACACTGAACCTCACAGAAGAGAAAGTGGGAAGTACACTTGTATGCATAGGCACAGGAGACCACTTCCTAAATAGAACACCAGTAGCACAGACGCTGAGGGCAGCAATTAATAAAGGGGACCTCCTGAAACTGAGACGCTTCTGTAAAGCAAAGAACATGGTCAACAAGACAAAACGGCTCCTTAAAGAATGGGGAAAGATTTTCACCAACTCCACACCACAGGGCTGATCTCCAAAATATACAGAGAACTCAAGACACTAGAAATCAAACTACCAAATAATCCAATTTAAAAAAATGGGGTGCAGATCTAAACAGAGAATTCTCAACAGAACAATCTCAAATGGCAGAAAGACACTTGAGATGATGCTCAACATCCTTAGCCATCAGGGAAATGCAAATGAAAACCACTCTGAGATGCCATCTTACACCCATCAGAATACCTAAGATCAAACACACTAATGACAGCTTATGCTGGAGAGGATGTGGAGAAAGGGGCACACTCCTCCATTGCTGGTGGGAGTGCAAGCCTGTGCAGCCAAAGTGGAAATCAGTATGTCAATTTCTCAGAAAATCAGGGACCAACCTACCTCAATTATGTTCATAGCAACATCATTCGTAGTGGCCAGATCTTGTCCCTCAACCGAAGAATGGATAAAGAAAATGTGGTATATTTACACAATGGCGAACCACTCAGTGGTAAGAAACAATGACATCCTAAAATTCAAACGCAAACGGACAGAACTAGTAAAGACACCCTGAGTGAGGTAACCCAAAGTGAGAAAGACAAATAAAGTTATGTTTTCACTCATAAGTGGATACCAGACACAAAGCAAAAGATACCCAGCCTGTAATCCACCCTAGAGAGACTAGAACCTTCTTCCAGGAACAGGTGGAAGCAGATGCAGAAATCTACAACTCACCAATGGGCCTGGCTCCTGGAGTACAATTGAAGTGAGGGAGGAGTGATAATATGAACAATGGAGTCAGGACTATGATGGGGAAACCCACAGGATCAGCTGACCTGAGCTAGTGAGAGGCCACTGGCAGGGTCCAAGATCTAACTCTAACGCACAAACTGACTTAGTGGAGCCCATTCTACATGGAGAGATCCCTTGCCCAGCCTAGACACAGGAGTGGAGAAGTGCCTTGGTCCTGCCTCAACAAGATGCTGGGACAGAATTAGACTTCCTAGGGGAGGCCTTACCCTCTCCGAGGAGCAGGTGGAAGGTGAGGAGGGGTTATATGTGTGTGTGGGGGGGCAGGAGAGAAGGGACAGGGGACTAGGATTGGAATGTAAAACATAAATAAAAGAAAAAAATTTAAAACATCAAAGAGGCTCTCTCTATAGCACCAAAACATGTTTCTTCCTCTTCTTGTCAAAAGGCTTTTAGAAATGTCCAGGTCAACTACTGTTGATGTCCAGATAATCACAGTCTAATAATAAAATATACTGTCTCACTAAGGGGTGACATAATTATGTGTCTGTACAAAAAAATAACCTCTTGACATGTAATTCCTAGAAACAAAAGTTAAAAAGGAGACCTAAGGTGCAAATAATATCCATTAAGATAAACTGCTGGGCGTGGTGGCGGCAGATCTCTGTGAATTTGAGGCCAGCCTGGTCTACATGGTGAGTACCGAATAGCTGCAGCTATGTAGAAAGACCCTATTTCAAAAACAAACAAGCAAACAAAAATGTGTGACACCTTTCCCAG